GAGAGAGAGAGAGGGCCGCGCGCGAGTGATTCATACTTTCATGCGGCGGATGTAATGACAGTCTTGGTGGCAAATTGCCGGGCCCCGGCAGCAACTCGTTCGAATGATTTATCAAGCATCGCGCAACCACCCGTGCGCCGCGATCGTCGCGAAGCACGATCAAATATCGCGCGTAATCCATTCGGATGGGAGTGATCTCGGCTCGATCATTCGCCGACGAATCCTCGCTCGTTTGTCTCCTCTTTTTTTATCGCTGCCGTCATCGTTGTTCCACCGTCGTCGTTGTTCCACCGTCTTGTTTCGACACGCTCCTTCCTTCGATCTGCGCTCGTTGACCGATTTTCCATGGGAGACGACTGACTGCCTCGACTCGACACTCCGTGACGCGTCGACACACCGGGAAATCTCTATTTCCGACAATCCCATCCGACGGGAGAGCGGAACTAAGAGGTTTCCGCACGGCCGCTGTGCTTTCGCTCTCGATCCTCTTTCCGTCTCTTTCTCTCTCTTTCTCGTCTCTCCTCGTTCCTCGTTTCTTCGAAGCGACTTTCCGCGATGTCGATCCGGTCGAGTGCGCGACCGCTGTCTACCTTTATCCATGTCCCTTTCTCGGGACGCAGCTCCACCAGTTCCTTCCTCGGACCTTTCGCCATTTCCCTCTCTCGCGTTTACTCTTAAACCATGAAAGGCAATCGCCGAATGAAGCCAACCGGATTGTAGCCGGCGAGCGAGTGATTTCGATTCATAAAGAGCAGTCGATACGAAACGGAACGTATCCCGCACGTATCGCGCAAGCGGCAAAAAGCATCTTTTGAAGTTTCTTCGCCGCAAAGGATGCCAGCGGGGGCCGTCCATTGATTTAATGGGTGCATCTCCGGTGCCGCGGTTTAAACGCCACATCAAACCGCCCTTCCTTCCGCTTTCTCCCCCCCCCCCTCCTCTTCCCTCCGCCAACTTCGAACTCGACTTCATCCCATAAATGACCCCTACGCGCGCGCTATCGTTCCTCCACGAGCGCTATCGCTTCGCTACCGGTCCTCG